TGTGCTTGGTCACTGAAACTGGTTATGGAAAGCCATGAAACTATTTGTTGTTCTCCGTKAAATCATTATTTGCTTTCATTTCATTTTAGGCACAGGCTACAGTCCAAGTATTTGGGTGGTTCTACTCACGTTTGTGTGCATAGCCGCACTAATGCTACCACTACAGGAAGAACAATCAACCACCTCTAAACTACCCTCCTACTTGCACTTATCAGTTACTCAAAAACTTGTGGCTGCTTTTATTTTAGGTTGGTGTTGTCATTGATAATGTGGTCCTCTAAAGCTGAAATGGCTCGACATAGTTTGATTTGAAAATTGTTCATAAAAGTCGAACCAATTTACATTGGTTCTGGGAGGAAGTTTTGTAGAAAATGTCATTTATCTTGATCTTTTGAAGCAAAATTGGAATGAAAGTATAAAAAAGTTTATATATTCCAAAGTATGAGGCAGGGGCGCAGGAGCTGTTTTCTTCATTTCCAGTCCCTCCCTTTGCACTCCGGCATCCTTGATCCCAAGTCCACGTCAGTTTACTTCCAATCATGTTAGGTTGATGCTGTCTAAAAGGCCTTTTTATCATTTTAGGACTGGTAACTATGGCATTGTTGAAGAAACACTAGGAAAATTCTACAATTCTACATTTTACATAGAACAAAATGAGGAAAAATGTACGAAATTATAACTATAKTGAAGAAATTTCGAATATTTTATAAATAATTATATCATTTACTATGTATGATTGCAATTTTTAAATTAAAACGCTTATCTTTTAAAAGATTTTTTCTTTTTGCACATCTTCAACCTGTGACCTCCCGAACAAGTTTCGCCGAGAGAAAAAAATCTAAGCTATTAAATTTTACAGCTATAATTTTACTGTTAGCTATGCACCTTGCGTGYATTAAGGTGTCAGTTAAGTACTACGGTAACACGCTTTTAGTATTTRTTTGCCTTTATTCAAGTTAAATAGATATTTGTCGGCGGACTTTTATGGTCCCTCTGACGTCAAGAGGAAAAATGAACCAAGGTTTCAAAATGCTGAAAGCATCAACCAGCAGTAAGCCGTGTTTAGTATTTTGTAAACAAGAAGAATCCAATTAAATATCAAACCAAACCGCGTTGTGAATTAGCCTTGTGAATAGTGAATTGGCTTTCCGGGACACAAGACTTATTTAATATCACTTTCATTTGTTTGACAGCCCGTAGATTTTCCTTAATCTCGTCATGTATTMTTGTATGTGATGCATAGACGTCTACCCTCGCTTTGTCAGGAAAGTTTTTAATTATGAAATGACGGTACTGGGCATTCAGACATGATATCTGAAAAAGTTTATTACTTTTAATCGATTAGTACTTTCTGTTGCACGTGCTTATGAAAACCGCTGTACTGCATGGATATACATTCATGGTGAATAAAAATAGGCTCAACAAACCACTCAAAAACGCCTTCCATCAGGCTAAATGTTTATCTCAAGTTTCGTTTATTACAAAAGCGATATAATCCATCGATTATAAGACGATAAGGGATTTATCTTTTGAAATCACTTCCCGAAAGCAAATGGCTCTACTTTCAATTCTTCAGAACAAAACACGCCGCTAAATTTGTCAATAAGATCGTTTGGAAAAATCTTTATTAGTTAGTTATTTGTGTGCGCGCAATATGCTCGTGAAAACATAGTTCATTTATCGTTCATTCATTCATTAATCTTCCAGTCTGTTTGCCTGTCCGTCCATTTATTCCTTGTCCATTGGCAAAGATTCATGCGATAATTCAAATTATAGGAGATKCTTCACTCAGTAATTTTCAATGATAAGCGCGCGCAAACTCTCYAGAAAGCGTTTAAAAGATTTGATTATTAATGCTTTAAATTGATATCGCCGTGACCAGCTAAAGTGATTGACSCTAGAAAATCATTTCTCAATGTCTTTGTGACAGCTATTTCCGAAACGAGTTTGAAGTCAAATTAACAGTTAAGAACTAGATGCGATATACATTTCACAATCTACGAAGGGGGCTTTCGAAAGTGAAATAAATTGCGACGTAACTTAAAATGGAGTTAAACAAATCCTGTGCGAACTTTTAAATCGCTGCATTATGATTGGTTGGAACTAAAGCGTGACATGCACTTGTCGAGCCACAATTCGTTCAGACAAAGTGAGTAACTTTTATATACTGMTCCTGGGTAAAGTTTATCAGATGAACAGATTTTGATTTTACTCACGACGCGCACTATAAYTTACTCAACGAGATGGAAATTAAAGAYCACAACACGCTTTTTCTTTTCTTCGTTTCCTTATTCTTCACGTCGCAAGGGGAGAGTGTTTTTACTGTAAAAGGTTTCCATCTTATTGGTTATGAACTTGAAAGTGTGGCTTCAACAGACTGGATTGGATGCATTCAGAAATGCAGCGGTAATCCTGACTGTATTTCATACAATTTTAACACACGAGGGAGTTTTTGTCAACTTAATAACCGAGGGATTGATCACTTCTCTTATATTGCTAATGAAATTCTGACACAAGATCAGGATTACGTTTTTCAGCAACTTAAGGTGAGTCTTTTTTTAAAGAAAAGAGTAAATTTTGYCTTAAAATTACGCACTAGATCACCATTATGCATTCTTGATCACCGGTTRCGGAAATGTATGCTCATATTTCATTTTCTGAGAAACCTTCGAGTTTTTTCGCGTTATATTGATACAATTGAAAAAAGCACATTAACAAGTTGTTATCTTATAAAATTTTTATTAACCCATATCATGGTAGGATTTTAAAGAATGTTTTTCTTTAAGTGTTTTTCTTCATTCTGCATGTTGTGACAGTGACGTTTTATTCTTCATTCTAAAGCGAGAAATACAGCCGGTCGATAAATATAAATATACATTTCATAATAAGAGCTTGCTGAAGAAGGCCGCAACGTTCATTAAAGCATAAAAGTACAAGCTGTTGTTTTGTGGTACGTCATTCTAATTCCATTTCATGATAACTGTACTCTCTTTTTAGTCCACTCAAAGATTGAAATAGGATTTTAATATTTTAYATGTAATTAGGCTTCCCAAAAGTAGTCAAATAAACTACGTTCTCTTTCAAAAAGTATAATTCACAGGTCGTGCATAGAATTCTGCACGTTTTTCTCATGCAACACAAAGAGATCAATCGAATCACCACCAAGACTTCATTGCGCGCACGCCCGTTTGAACCAGTTTTTGTAAACCGCCATTTAGCTGCCAATTTGACGAGAGCTTGTAATGATTCACGACGTTTTATATGTTAAATAGACACAATGTTGAGATCAAGAAATTAAAGGAATAGCCAGTTTAATTGTGAGAGAGTGTCATGGTCTCCGCAAGGGGTAAAATAATACTCTGAAAATAGAAAGCAATTTTTTAGTGTGCTACTAAAGTTATTGACATATCAAAGTCAACTTTTCATGACGGCTAGAAATTACGTTATTTTGTCTTTGGACTTAAATTAATCCAGTAAGCTAACAACGCAGGAACAAAGTAAATTTACCTAAATAAGTAAAAAACAGAGAAAAAATGCATTTGAGTTCATCTGTAGATTTGTGGGCGATCATCTCAAATCAGTTTATTTTCTCCCGCATGTGAATCATAGGAAAAGATCTAAACACCCCTGTCTCTAGCTTTATGTGCGTTGACACCTTATCTCTCTCGCGGTAATGGAAATTCAAACGAGTTTGTATTGATAACTGTCACAATTATTTCATCAAAATTGTGCATTTGTCATTCACAAAATGGGATTAAAGATAGAAAAATCGCGCTAGAGGAGCTATTTTCTCAGGACGCAACTGAATGATCAATAGTTGAATATTCTTCTACTGATATATCCGAACTTTAAACCTACAAGCTATATTATACAACAATGTGGTGTTCATCCAGTATTCTATATGCTTGATATTAGTTGTTCTTCATTCTACATGATGAKATGATATCCATTCACTTTTGCTTATTCTGTGAAAATATTTTCCCGGGAGCTCGTTATTACTGTTCTAGCTTTTTCAGCCGGCCTGTTTCTCGCGAAGGTCATYCCTTCTAATTACTATCATTTTCAAAAGGCTAATCATCCCTATTCAGCTTCCACTATGTTGACCTATTCACTCATTTCTTATTAGATGAAATTGTCCGACACGTTCTAAAACAACGAAATAATACACTGAACTCAAAGAGTGGATAAAAGAAAAGAAAATATGGACGAATTAACGAAAGGAAACAAACTACTGAGCATATCTAATTCTCTTGATAAAGGATTAAAAGACTGCTCTGTTATTGCTGAGCTGTAGACAATAATAGACGGGAATGATTTACGGAACCAATGTCATATCTACCATCTATTAACGCTTAGAGGTGCAGCTCTAAGGTACAAATTATAAAAACACATCGCCTTGCCAACCATAAGTAATAATTTGTTTTACAATCTAGCCTATTTCCTGAAGAGCATTTAGTSATAAAAAGTGCAGCTGTCTTGGCTCGAGTGACGCACTTAGAATTAAAGTCCAAATACAACAGTAGTTGAAGAAGACATTTGCAGAAAATGACGGCAAATCATAACTGGCGCGCGCCGACCAACTGAACTAAGTGCTATTTTAATAGACCACTTAGCCCATGCTATCTTTAATTGATAAAGACAGAACAAAGTACAGGAAATTGTRAGCCTTTGTTTTTCCTTTAGATAACTGCAAATTGTATTCATCGACGAATAAGAGCTCGTGTTTTTGATGCCTAGTATCTTCTTGATTTTCTTACTTTCATAAGCTCCATATATTCAAGTCAATCTCAGACCAAAACTACTACTACCTGAGCTGATAAGTATAGTGCGCATAGCCACGTTTTCCAAATAATTACACAAAATTCGGTACTATATAGGCCTACATATGATACAAAGTCTTAAGTAAAAAATGACGATTCGCAATTCATCATAAATTCAAGTAACATTTATTTTAGTTGCTTCAGATTGACARGGTAGTAAATATTGGCGTTATAAAATGACAATGCTGTCATACAGCTTTTATTATTTAAGCTACAAAACCAAATAAATCAGTGTTTTATAATTTGACATGCCATTTGATTGTTGTCAAGTATGAAAATGTCAATCATTATACCATTAATACTATAATAGTTGAATTAAAACAAGACTTTTTASCTCAGTTTTGCATTAACGTTTCTCAACAGACACCCAAAGACCATCAACTTGCGCGTCCACGTTCTTCACAATGCGATTGCAACTGTGGTTCAGACCGGCACTGCTACGTTAAACCACCCCCAGGTACGTTTACTGCTGTTTTCACAAAGTTTTAAGGTTCTCAAATTTGGAATTTGTGTCAAAATAAAACYATTATTATTYATAACTGAATTAGAATGTATTGTTCAATCAACACGCTACTCAGGTGCAGTGACTGAGCTACCCTGTCACGTGACCCAGTGCACTTTCTCAGATACCGAGCTCGTTCGTAAAAGCCGAACCACGACCTTCTCCTGTACACATGACTGTGAAAGATGTTTTCATTTATCGATTTACTGAAGGCTGTTCGTATAGAGTGAGCAGTATCACTCAGAATTGTTTAGTGAAATCCCCATTCAGAGTGTGAAAACATCAGAATCCATCTCCATGAACCGAACTGTCTCACTATGAACATCACTTAGACGCAAACTATACAATGTTAAATGGTAATTATGMGCAATCAATTGATTTGCTTCGGTTATAAGCAATTAATCAGCATGTTTACTGCATTTTCTAATGACACGTTTTTAAGAAGAAATGACATCGAGATGTAAATTACTTGTCTGACAAAAATGGTATGCAATGTCTATGTTACTAGCAGTATTTTAATAAGGAACTGTATTAAATAGGATCTGATTTGATGATGATACGSAAAAATTGTAATGCTGAAAAGGTAAAAGAGATGATATCAAAGGAAGCACGTTGCCTGTAGACAACGTTCGTATCATCTTATCATTCATGAAATACAGCAATGTGCAAAAGTTGTGATCATTGTGATCACAATAATAAACAATATATAAAATATATTAGGAATTATGTGATGTCATCGCCGATATTCAGAAGTGGCCTAGCACTAGAACTTTTGACTTGGAATTATTCTCGATTTTTTTAAGCCAACAAATATTGGCGATGACATCCCATAATCTCTGATATATTTTATACATACTTGAAATACGAGCAAAAAAGATCATAATTTCTGCATATTGCTGTATTTCCTGATGCGTGTTAACATATTCTGGTGGGCATAATCGTTATTTCTGCAAAATACGCTCACTCAAGAAATTTCCAACACTCTCAACTCTTTCTCTCCACTCAAGACAAATACATTTATCCGTGCGTCCATGTAAATATCCTCCATTTACCTATTGTCAGACTATTATTATATCTCTGAAAGTATGTCCGATGGCTGATTACTCTCATGTCTCAGCTATTTGTTCCTTAAATTAGTATATTATAATCAGCGGCTTTTTTATTTCCATAGGTATTGGTGATACAAAAGATATACCAGCAACAGCTTGCAAAGTCATTCTGGATAAGAGAAAGTATGTTCACAGAAGTACATATGGTTATGTACTTCTGATGTTCACAAATTTTTATTTCATTATTTGAATCTCTCGGTGTATTAAAAGTAGTGTCATGCAATGTGCTATCATCGTTAACGCTCATCGGACATTTGAAGCATAGATATTCGTGTCATAACTATTTAAAGGCGGGACAAAACTGCTCTCTCTTCCAATCAAAGAGTATCTTGAAAAGAAATGAATAAGAAATAAATCAATGTAGAGTGGCATAGGGTAACGTTAAGTGTGGTGGGATTGACCTATAAACAAACGTAACAAAGAATCGTAAAGCTTGTATCATATGTATTGTAATACTAGGTTAGATAGAGGGCAGGCATAATATTGAAGATAAAATTATACAAATATTTACAGTAATGCCAAGAACGGTCCATATTACTTGGCAACGTTTCCCATGACGACATACGTCTACTGTCACATGACTGAATTGCCCGGATGTGGCGGAGGCGGCTGGACACTTGTTATGAAAATCGATGGAACAAAGGTAATAAAAAGGGATAGAATGCATACATTGTTAGCCTGCTAGCGGCCCTCTTGGGATCCCTGTGGTCTCGTCATGAAGATGGCCACTACGTAGGCTATCAGATTGTATACTGTTTCTTCAGCTCGCTTTTGTGCGTAAAGTATTCATATATTTATGAAATGATTGGACTTTCTTTCTTTTTTACCAGCCGACATTTCGATACAATTCGAGTTTCTGGACGTCCACTTCGAGAACGCTCAATATAAAGGACGGCAAAGACATGAGTGAAAAAGAGACATTGCTACCGACATACTGGGGTATCAAGATTGTCAAGCAAATTTGTCTTGGAATGAAGTATGATGGTTTGACGCGATGGGTGTCTTTAAACTATACAGGGAATAGTAGCCTGTACGACGCCATGAAAACTCATCACACTACAAACCTTAACGTTAGTCAGTGGAAAAAATTGCTGCCTAATTCTTCTCTAGAGGTAATAATATGGACATGAAAGTCAACAAGTCAACAAAGTCAGTTGATTATATATCATTTAAACCGTTTTAGTTTTCATAGTGTCAAAGTTAATGAATTATCATTGATGTTAGTTTTTTTCCCACCAGACAATTTGCACAAAGCAAGGGTTCAACGTTCACGATTCAAATAGTGGTTCTCCGTTATCACGAGCTCGTATTGGTATTCTTGGCTATTCCAAGTCCGACTGTGGCAGGAGTTTTACTCATTCTAGACTGGGATTTGGTACAGCAGGCTCGTCTGGTGGTATGGTTGACGCTAATTCTTGTGGCAACGAAGCCCGTCAACATGGCGACAACGGCGACAGGTCAATCACAGCGTTTGGTTACATCTTTGTAAAGTGATAGAATTGGGGTTCCTGTGTGGATCAAACTTGCTGATATACCGTACATAAAATATATCGAAAATTTATAAAACATCTTTGTATAGTGGTTATATGAACCATTACAAAAAATTAACTAATACTCTGACGACGATGCAAACTGGTTTCAACTTTGCACACAAAAAAACATGGCACTAAATCACTATTAGACGTTCATCATTCAATCAAGGCTTTTACGCATTGCAAAATGTAAAACCATGCATTGCCTGAAATATGCGTCAACTCATGTAGAGTTATGATCTCTCAAATCATCAAAATATAGTTGAAAGTTTAATGAAGCCAAGTTTGCGGCGATTTTGCACGAGAATGTTGCGCGACTGTGTACTATTAAAACAGCGTTCTTCAAACAGCAAATCCGCAATGTATGGCTCAGAATATTTTCTAAAATAATCCCAAACTAAAAAAACACCTCATTATATTAGCTTGTGTAATATACCATGAACAAAGAACGATCCTACAAAAGGTTTGCCTCTTATAATCGGATTGATAAGATTAAGGGGAGATTTGTTTTGCACAATGTGATATTAAATCTACATTGTAGAATAAATGTAGTGACACACGTCATGTTTTATTCACAGTGTCCTGACAAACCGATATCGTTGCACTTTATACAAGGGTCTCAATGGTATAAGACGGCGCATATAGACTGGACGGGTTCGGGATCGTTTCGTGAGGGAGTCATTTATCAAAGACCTTTTTTCACTAAATTAATTCTATATTAAATTGTTTATTCTAATACATTGATTATCATTAGCTAGTAGTAGTTAGAAAAAGCTAGAAGTAACTGGAAATAACGTAGAGTTAACTGGAAATAAGGTAGAAGTAACTGGAAACAAGTTGGAAGCAACTGGAAATAAGATAGAATACAAGGTAGGAGTACTTCCTCTAGTATCCAGTTACGTGGCACAAATTAGAATCAGGGATTGGCTGGATACCTCACAAATAATGAATGAGTATAAGAATGTGTATTCTACAGGGTACAGGCCGAAGTTTCTTTATACTAGAAAGATGAAGGTCAAATATCTTAACGTACACTGACGAATTTAAGATATGACCTTCTCCTAAATCTTGCAAAATGCACCTTTTCAGTTGCACTTAGTCCTCGATAGCAAGTTAATTATTCTTTTGAATTTGACAAATGAGACTATTCATATCAATGTTTGCACTGCTCACATTCCTACAAATTCAAAAGAATATTTAACACGCTGTCGAGGCCTAAGAGAACCTGAAAAGGTGTATTTATATATGGCCCTCCCCTCCCCCAGCACTCCAGTCCTCTTCCCCCCCCCTCCCTCTCAATAATAAATTTACCTTCTCTTAATAGTGGAAAAATCAACGAACTTAAATTCTGTTTTCGATAAAAGGTAGATTAGTATCTCTTCAAAAGCCCGAAGTTCGATTTTTACATTCAACGACGAGTTTRGCCTTTTGAGCCATTTTCTTTGTAAGTGGATATGTAGCCGAGCCCGACGTTCAAATTTCGCGTTTCGGACCGAGTCAATCAACCTGAAAATCTCGCCTCATTCTGCTCAATGCACTGAGAAATGCACCAGATGTGTTCATTTTGTTGAMCCTGGTCACCATCACATGCTTCCCGATAATCTATTCTAGACAACCAATCACAAAGCGTGCACATATATGGCACTTGATTGGTCTTTGTTGATACTACTTCAAGAGACAAGACAACAAAATGTCTTTCATGATGAATGCGAAAATCCATCCTCGGGAACCCAAGGGGTAATCTTCTGTCGTTCATTCCTCACTCCCAGAAAAGATACCCCTGGGAACGAAGTCTGTTAGACCTTGTTCTCGATTCAAAATTCAAAATGGCGGCCGGTAAATTTCTGATTGGTCGACTGATTCATTCGAACATTCTGATTGKYTGATTAACTTTACTGGCCGCCATTTTGAAATTCTGGGAGTGAGGAATGAATGACAGAAGATTATCCCTGGGTTGCCGAGGATGACCCAGTTCTCTTACAGGTGCAMTTGCCCGTACCTCTCTTTACAATTAACACACATGACAATCTGTTATGAGTYAAATTTGTAATATTAGTTATGTTCTCGCTACTCTCATGGGTCCACTTGAGTTTTGAACATCTTATGACATCAAGAGTGTGTYAATGAGAGGACATGCTGTTCAAAACCGCGGTATTAATTATATAATGACAAATATTTCATGGATGTGATTTTTGCCATATTACTCGAAATCGATCAGATGAATTTGTTTTTAACTATTCAAAAACGTTATGCAATAGTTTGGAGTTAATGTTGATGTCTACCGCTTTTCTGGATCTCATCAATTTTTTGAGATATTTGGCAAAAACGAATTTCGACAAAATGCAAATTCCGTTGCCTAGGTAACGTTGATAGTGCTAAATATCATGCCAAACAAAACTTTGGTCAATGCTTTAATACTGGTCCAAACACGAAACAAATCGGTGCTTAGCAAGATTTTCAAAAAGCGAATTTAAAATGAGAGGCATTGTAGAAAAACAACTGTAGGAAGCCACCTTAACTTAATGAGCAGCAAAATTAATACTACCGAATTCACCGTATATTGTGTAATGGGCACGAATGTTTCGCCTGCCACGCTTAATTACTTTTGTTGTTAAATTCCTGAAATTCCTTTGACAGCTTTGTACTTGCTTATGTGATTATGTGTGTTAACATAAGTACTATAAGTACTATAGAGATACTAGTACATACATCTCAAAATTCAATATCACAAAAAAAGAAATAAGCCGTTTTTGACYATGAAAACGTTATAAGCCTTTTTTGACCTTAAAAACGTTTGTCAGGAACAAAACTAATCTAAAGAAGGACTTGGAAGGAAGGGTGCCACATTTGCTTATGAGACTGTCAAAATACCTTCAGGAAAACATTCGTACAAGAACAGTTATTTTGAAGAACAGGGACCATTGSCTTCTCCTGCTATAACATTTTTAAAGAGGCGATATAGAGGTCAAAAAACTCACCCTAACCCTCGAATTTTCGATAAAAAATGTTTCAYACACTGTAGCGTATGTGCTGCTGTTTATTAACCAAGTATAAGCTACATATTTTTGATATGAAAACCAATCTCGTACCCAGCGCCACTGTCCCTGTTGCTGCGCAAGCTCGACGAAAAACAATGGCGCTGGAGTACACGAAAATTTCTCGCTCTCTGATGGGCTCATAAAATAMACACACTTGCCGCCGAAAGTGAAAATATCAGCGAGAAAAACACTCAAATCATTCTGCATTTCCCTACTTCATTTTTTAAGTCTATGAAGTGGGCATTTGAGAGTACTATGATTAATTAGTCGGACTAGCCGAAGGCTGGGTYGACTTGAGTTTTACCTTTTATTCTATCAATCTATCGATCTGTGTATTTAATTTTGTCGCGTTTGGAGCACCGGAAGTTAAGAATTTAATAATTAACTATTGGGTTGGCTGTGTTATTGCATGACCGGAAGCTCAAACGTATTCGGATGTACGCTAATATCGTTTAGTAAATGTTATATGCTACTTGCTCTTTTATGTGATAAAAAAAACCTATTCGTTTACCAATCTGGTATCTGTGATCTCATCGGAATGCATCAGTCTAGGCATCAGAAGTACGCGCATGTGCGGATCGCATGGAGCTTCGAGTAGTATGCTTACGAAACTGAAAATCTTATCGTGTTTCACTCGTTCTCCTATAAGCGCATCCATGTAATATCCTGTCTTAAACAATTTTCMAAAAAAGCTAGTTCGACTTCACGCTCCAAGAGCGTCTAGTTAAGTATAAAATGGAATACAGCGAGGCGACAATCAAACTGTCATGCCACGATAATCGCTAACCGTCACTGTCTGCTACGATCTTATCATTTATCATCTAAGGTCTAAAAAATCCCTTTTCTGACTTCGAAGGCTTTCATTTAGCCAATTTTCTTGAGTAAAATCAGTCAAATAAAGTCGTTGATCGGGTTTCTACTGCGCATGGGTGAAATAGCCTGATTCTGGCTTCAGGTATTGGAATATCCCAAGTGTTTGTCGCAGACCAAAAGTAATGCGGGCTCTGGGTACGAGATTATATGAAAACCATAGTTTTTTTAGAATAAATTTTCAGTGAATGGGATTGTCAAACTATTCTCACACTGTGTGATAATTCTGAATGATACAAATATTTTCATCTTTCATGCTCAGGAATTATATATTCAAATAAACTTTTATTATCAAACAATATTAAGAATTAATTTTGTGAAAGAGTTAATTAAAATAAATCCAAATTTTATATTTTATTATTAAACTAAATTATATTTTATCATATTTTATTATTATATTTAAATTATWATTATTATTATTATTATTATTAATCAAATTATTATTAAGTTAAGTCTAATTTTGTACATGGAATGGAATGATGGAATGTTATAGAGTGATCGCACTTAAAGCATGCAATGTAAGTGTACAAAATCTAAGTAGTATTATGGTATTGAATGCTTCATTTGTATCAATTCAATTTAATTTGCGTACCGCATGCAAGATTTACTAAATACAACTAAATAGCACTATTTAGTTTGTACAGTTGCACGGTTTAAGTGYGATCACTCTAACAGTATTAATGCAATAAATTATAACTTAGCTTAATTACTATTCTTTTTGAAGTTGAAACTATTGTATTATAAAAATAAATAAATGGTTGCAAAATTTATTTCGAGAATACTTTCCACATTGAAAAAGACCACATAAAGAGCAGACGTCACAGGGGCTCGCATCGGGATATATAGAGGGGTCCGGGGGYGTGCTTCCCCGAAAWATTTTGAAATATAAARCCGTCACAAATGCCATTTTCAGCACTTGGATTTCGGTTAAGTTTATTTAATAAAAGGGGGCCGGTCACTTCGGCCCACCTCTAAATCTCCCCTGGACGATATCGTCTTGGAAATGAATTGCACTAAAATCGTTAATGCAATTCCTATCCAAGACGATATCGTCTGCTCTTGATGTGGTTCTTTTCAATATGGTATTTTAACGACCAGCCGCTTTCGAATATTTTACCGCAGCAGGTAACTCTTCCTGGCCATTCTTCTATGACGTAGCTTTTGTATGATCGACATTTCGGTTTTGGCTCTTCCCCAAATTTATGTCGTTTTCTTTGTTTCGGCTTTATTAAGAATTCCAAGGTTTTTAAAAATTCTCCGACTCCATATTCCGGATGCCTGTAAAAATCGAGAATACAAGTCAGTTAAAGAGTAGGTTTCTTTACTGAACAATCTCTTATGATCGCTTTTTGTTGTGTTACATTAAACCC